AAAAAGCGGAAAAGGAGGGTAACAGCTTGTGAAGCACTCTGCAGGTAAATGGTTGAGCATCCTCAACCACTTCCCTTCCAGTGACCCAGCTTCGTTGGATAGTCACTGGAAGCCTGATCCCCCTGCATTAGTGGAACGAAGACCCTTTGGAAGGGTAGTGCACACATTCGCAGAATCTCATGAATCAGGATTGAAACGAAACCTGCTTCTGGTCGGTTGCAAAACCCTCCAGGAGCCCACACAAGGTCAAGCCTCTTGTAGGATTCCATTCGTTTCGACAATGAATTGTGGCGTCAATTCTCCTGTCGACCCCGGCTCGCTCCGAGCGATGAATTCCGACGGGACGGAGGTCCCCAAGAGTGAAGAGTCAAACACGGTGACCAAACATCTGGGGACCATTCGACGGTCCTTCCTAGACCTTCCTAGACCTTCCCATGTCTTTTTTGTCAAGACCATTCGACCTTCCTAGCCAGCCATGTTCCATGTTCCATGTCTGAATGACCAAAAGAGTAACCTCCCAACAAGTATGATATCGGGAATATGGGAGGTGGCACGTTCAGCAGGATCTAAACGTACTTAGTCATACATCACCCAATTTAAAATTCATCTGCTCGCTGTACAAGTGAGCACGTATCTGAAAGTCACTTACATATCGCATATACAGTAAATGGTTGATTATATATTTAATGCTCGTTTCATCCAGGGCATGAACCAAAACTTAAACAAATCAATAATTTTTGAAAAAATAACGTCTTCCTCGCCATTTCGCTTGCCAGCTGATGTCGACTCTGATTGGCTAACAACAAATACAGTTGGATTGAAACTAGAAACACCTCTTCATACATGGGTTTTATTAGTCAAGACATGTCAAGAGTCTATACATAGGCAGCTCCCCATCCACGCGCGGACTGGCCTCCTTTCATATCTTTCATCACCTGCTACACCGTACCTGGGCAGGTTTTGCATTGGGCCAAGGTACGTTGTTTGGAAGGGGACCAAAATAAAGAGAGCGGGTGGTCATGGGGCCTGGGTTTTGGTTTTCCCCAAATTTTAGGTAAATGCTTCAGTGGCAGCCCCTCTCCATATAAACACACATATCTATTCTTGCTCTCACTCTATACGAACAAATATATTATGTATTCCTGAGTCAGGGTAATTTTATTGTTTTGGAAGCAGCAATCAATCATTCAGATGGTTTTGAACAAGATAATTAGAAAAGAAGCAGGCCATAAAAGTGGTCGTTTTAACAATTGTCCTCTAGATCTCTGCTTATAATAATATTTAGATTTGGAAAGATTGTCTATAGACGCTTTTATGTTATAAAAGATTCTCTATAGATCTCTGCAGATAATCATGTTTAGATTTAAACAACTATATAGAAACCTTGTATGTTAAAACTTTCTTCTAGATTTCTGCGGGCAAGAGCTTGCATTTTCAAAGCTTTCCTCAGGATCTCTGGCAAAGTAGATATCCCACATATATATATATATATGTATATATGTGTTTTCATGAAAGGCAAGCTCTTGAAAGAAAGACTTATTTATTGATATATAGCATGCTTAAATTGACATGACCATTTCCAGAGATCCAGGGGAAAGCTTTTGAAATGAAAACTTATATATAGTTTTATTGTAATAATGATGATCCCCAGAGATCTAGAGGGAAGCTCTTGAATTAGAAGCTTGTACATACAACATGTTTAATATGTATATATTATCTCCAGTGATTACTGACAATAAATAAATCTAACTATTTACTTCAAAAAAGAGTTTTAGTCTTGTTCCCAGCACTTCCAGAGCAAAAAATACTGTAAAACACGGGGTTTTGTAGCATGTGTTTTCTTAAACTAAATAGGCTAGAGCTAGAATAGAATTAGGCAGAATTAAATTGGATTTGAGTTAGAGCTAAGATAGAACTGAATCAAAACCGAATTTTAACTAAACTTGTATTGAACTATAACTATAGCCTAATTGAAATTGGATGAGAGTTGAATTAGAAAGGAATTGAAATTAAAATTAGAAGTTCGCCAGAATAAGATGTAAACGCTTGAGCTACAAGCACAGAAGTACGCTCGCAAAGATATCCAACCGTTTCATGTAAAGGACAGAGTGTCCTCGCAACTGCATGTCAAGCTGTTTGGAAATGCAAGTGGCAACCGCATTTATACCAGTCAGCAGTTAATGCACTCAGACTTGTATATGGAGATTTGGGCAAGGACAAAGGAAGTGTTGAGCTCAGACGGCTTCAGATGTAAGCAAAAAGAACAGATGCCTTGAGGTGAGAAGTAAGCTCAGATGCTAAACCAAAAAACCTTGAGAAAACAAAAAACAAAAAACAACATTCTGAGAGACTCTTGCTTGGACCCCCCAAAATCAGAAGAATCAGAAAACCAAAAAAACCTTGGGAAAACCAAAAAAACCTAAAAAACAAAAAAAAACAATTCTGGGGAAGTCTTGAGGACAAGGGGGTCCAGCCAAGAGTCTCTGAGAATTGTTTTTTTTGTTTTTTTTGTTTTTTTTTTATTTTCCCAAGGTTTTTTTGGTTTTTCGGTTTTTCTGATTTTGGGGGGTCCAGCCAAAAGTCTCCCAGAATTGTTTTTTTTTTGTTTTTTGTGTTCTTAAAGTTTTTTTCGTTCTTTTTTGGTTTTTATTATGCATATTTATCAGTGTTTTTTGGTTTTGATTGTGGCACTGATGCATTTACCTAATATTTATGAACATTTATGGAAAACCAAAACCCAGGCCCCATGGCCACCCCTTCTGAAAATAAAACAGGTTTCTACAGCATAAGTAGTCATCACAGATCATCACAGCAACATCATGCAAAATCTGCTTGAATGTTGTCTCAGATCGAAAGAACAGGTCGCTGAAGTGTCTGCATGTCCGGTCGCCAGAAACCAAACACACAGTGTTCGCCCCGCAAATGCTGCGGTGATCAATCACATGCCTAGGCATCGCGCATTCAATAACCTAGGCAAGTGCAAACTGGACATGATTTTTTTTTCAGGTTTGTCTGGTACAAACACAGTTCATCGACACGTCCAATCAAATGTTTGGGTTGAAATGCATTGAAGAATATTGAACCAAACACTTCAGGTGGAAGTGTCACTATGTTTGGAAGGATTATTATGTTTGGGTTGAAATACATTGAAGGTGTCCAACTTAGTCAGCAGAGTCTGTGGCTCAAAGGAAAAACGGATACTACAACCATAGGTGTCAAGGGGCGCTTCCATGGGAAGGTGAACCACGTTTTCGCCAATCACTTGTTGACTGCTTCACCCACTTCTATCCGGTTCCAGCTGTCTTCAAGCTGGACCAGTAGCATCAGCTCCTTCTAAAAAGACGTGTCCCTTCAGGTTTTGTGCTCTCACCCGGCTGCTTCACCCCGCCCAGGTCGAATCGGCCTTGCTCGCCCACCCCGGCGGCCCCGGTTGCAGGAGATGCCCGGGCGCTCCGGACCAAGCCCTCAGAATCTCACAGGTGACCCCGGCCTAGCAGCGCAGGGCAGCGCAGCGCGTGCCGCGCGCCGCGCGCCGGTCGTGTTTGCTAGGCGGAGTCTTTGTGAGTATATTCAATGGGGGCGTATACTTTTCCTAGAGTGCGGTGATTTTTGGTCCATTGTTTGAGTAAAAAATAGTAAAAGTATTTTTTGACATCGACATACCATGACATACCACTGGCAAAGGGTTTGATGAAACCATGTTCAAATCCAACTCCATTTAAAATTGTGTAGTCAAAAAACGAAGAGTTGAAGAACACAAGATCTCTCCCATTGAAGTTGCACCCGCATCCCACATTGAAGTTCGAATTCAGCGCCTCAACCTCACCCCAACTCCCATCGGCGCCGCTTCGCCCGCTGCTTCGCAGCGCGGCTTCAGCCCACTGCTTCGCCTCAAATGGCCCCAGCTGCAAGGTGCTCAACTCATTCACCTAGTGCCCGCTGGGGGCCCACCGAGCTCCCGCCGGGTTTTCGACTGCGTCGATCGACATCCAGTCACTGAACCCCGGGGAGGGGCGGGTTCTGCCATGCCGATCGAGACCGGTTCGTGTTGATTGTGGCGTCCGAGGCGTCCAGTTCCAGGAAGGTGTCCTTCTCTGCCGAGCTCCATGTTTGCTTCGGTCTTTTGGGGTGGACCATGGTGGAGCACCAGTCACAAGGGAGGCACTTGGAGCCCTAGACAGAAAAGGACACCTGGAAAGATATGTGGACATCTGGTTTGCCTCCAGCTGTTCAGTCAAAAAAGAAGTCTGTTTCTCAGACAAGCACATCACAAGGTTTGGTGGACGAGCATGGTATTTCAGAATATGGTCTTTGGGCGTTCATGCCGTGCTGTCTATCCACTTGCATGTCAGTCAAATGGGTGAGCGTAGAAACTGCTGCCCATTTCCGAAATACAATTTTACAACACACATGCATGTGTCTGTCGTTGCTCTTTCATTCTATTGTGCCGTACAATATAGCAGAAACCATATCCCAAACACTCCATGGGACTGCCATCTTTGCTGCCCCAGACAGACCCCTCTAAACACTGGAAGTCTATCATCGCCCCATCTGTGCTTCTCCACACCTTCGCCCCATCTGCGCCTCCATCTGTTGGGTTCGCGAGACGGTCTCCTGAGGCCAGTTCGGACGAGCGAAGCGTGGCACAGAAGCGAGCGAAGAGGGAGTTGGAAAACAAACAGACCACGGTATGTTTTTTCTGGAGCGAACTGATCGGTTTCTCAAGGTTTCTTCGGGTTTACTGGGTTTTGATTTAAAGATTGTTGGGAGCATTCTTCTTGTTCCTTTTTGGATGTTGGAGGGCTTCCAGGCAGGTGAAAGTGTTTGAGGACATGGCCGGGTGCACATTTCGCAGGAAACAAATTACAGCTGGACTGTCATCCAATAACAAGACCTTGAGCAATCCGCTGCGAATCACACAGTAGCCAACAACCTAATTTTGGACACACAATTTTACTAACAACCAACACATCAAAGAGACAGAACAGTTCTTTAGGGTTCTGGTCTGGTATGGATTTCTCATGATTCCTCCATCAAGTCCTTGGGATATGACTTTCCAACTCAAAAGGGCCGCTTGTTCCACTCCTTTGGCACCGACTTCGTCTCTCTCCTGTGTCTGATCCTGCCGCGTCTCCAGGGGCTCAGAAGGGCTGGACCTGCGCAGCTGCAAATGGCCATCCCCCAGGACCCAAGCACCATCATCTCCTGGGGATGGGCTTATGTCCTGGGCATGGCTTGGGTCCTGCAGTGGGTATGGCTCCAAGTAAGAACCCAAGGTGTTCGAAGAGGATACTTGGACTCTCCAAACATCTCCAAACCCACCTCAAGGCTGGTGCTCCCACCTTCTCAAAGGCTGGTGGTGCATGTTTTGGTCATGGTTTAGGTCCCATACAGAAACATAAAGCTATGAGCTTGGACGCCAAATTTTAAGCTGCTGTGTTCCTGATCAGTCGATAGGACAAGGTTCATACATGTTCATACCCTGTCTCAGGGAGGTCGCCTCTCATTGAAACAAACAACTCATGCCTCACAATAAGACCAACTATAGGATGTCATTGATCAACTGAAAAAAGGATGACCTGATGAAACAAATTGCTCTGAATTACTATAATTACGTTGAAAGACTGGGAGGAGTTGAACTCATCATGTCATCGGCTGTACGTAGAGCTAAGGATACTTGAGGGCAGCACCATCTTCAAGCTTGCTGTTTGGGAAAATGCTCGGCGGACTCCAGATCCCGAATCCCTGTTCCTCAATGTTTTGCGATGAATTCCAGCAACGTTCCAGGTGACGGACTGGTGCGAGTTTATGGAAGGATCGGCACTTGGTACACAAGTGCTTGCTGCCATAGTACCCGCAACAAACATGGACTACGAGCGGCTTCGTTCTGGTGTGGCCGAATGGCAATCCTAAGAAATATATAGCATCCGCACGTTTGGGTGGGCATGAACAAAGCTACTATAAGTGCATTGATAAACAGGTTAATGTTAGCCTTATAGCCTGCAAACGTAAACCGACAACAAAAATACATGGTACCAGTCACACACCCCAGACCATGCACATGCTTGTATCAGGGGCTCTTGACCAGCATGAGCAAGCTTGCTCCAACATATGCATGATACAGAGCACTTGACGATGACCATCTTGGACCATAACAAAAAGACACGCTAATTAATTAGTTATTTCTTTAAGAGGATCTCTTGGCCACCTCTGCCATCGAACAAGGTGCAACACTGACATGTGTGATGTTGAAGATACAACTGTAGCAGTCCAATCAACATGAGGGACTCTCCCCAAGTGTTACTGAACAGAACCCGCTCGAAAACAAGAACCGTCCATCCCACCAAAACCTCTTTCGGCCCAAAACCAGGCTTCCCAGGGGCCTTTCAGCTGGCTGAAGCTCCTGCGACGAATGGAAGCCACCCTCTGCTAGATCCCAGCCACCCAGCGCGGATCGGGGTCAGGTGATCTGCGATGCGATGCGTCTCGAGGAGGTTGTTGGATCCAGACATATCCTTGAGTTCGGGATGGCACTCTCTGGTCCTCCATGTTGTTACCCCTAAACCCTTGCAAACTATCGCACACCATTTCCAAACACCTTCATCACCCCTCAGTGAATTGGCAACAAAACCCCTACAACTAACATGCTCACGCAGAAAGAGACACAATTTGGCTTGAGCAAATAGTAGTAAGAATGCTACTAGTAGCATTGCCAGGAGCCCGGTTCGTAGCGTCCGATCGCTCCTAGTTTGCCTTGGCCAGGAGCCCCTATAATATAGTACTACAGTATAGCTTAAGTGTTACTACTAAGATCTGGCAACATTTCGGGTGCCACCCCCATGTTCTTCACGCCTCCGAAAGCGCGGCGGTCGCGCTGTCGGCCGTCTCCCGGCTGTCTCCTGGTCGTTGGTCAAATCAACCCCGCCTTCTGCAGGTCGCAAGCCTGGCTTCAAAAAGGAGGCTGGAACAGGTTGAGCAGGAGGATGGAACAGGGAGCTCTAGGTTTTCTAGGGAGCTGGTTCTGCTTTTTCGTTTCGCTTGTTTTGGGGGATAAGTTCAATCTTCTGTCTAGGTGTTTGGTGTTGAATAGTGTTGGATGTTTTTTTGCTTGAGAACTCTGAAGATTGACTGTGTGATTCTGAGAACTCATTGGAAGATTGAGCATTTTAAATGGACAAACTGGGACATCAAGTATGTACTTGTTGATATTGGACATTGTTTCGCTTACTTGATGACCATGCAATCTAGTACCCCTGCCATTCCAACTCAACCAGCATCAAACATCATTTGCATGGAGCCATTCAATTCCATCGTCCTTGTCGAAAGGATCCTTTTTCCCCTAACAAGACTTTAAACCTAACAACACCTCTCCATCTTCTCATGCCATTCAACCCTGTACAACCGTCCAACCATGTCGCCATGGGTCTGACCATATCAAAACGCTCCGCCATCGTCGAGTCCTTCGCTCTTCGTCGAGACACCTCCCCGGTGTCTCGGTCTCCCCGGTCTCTTCCCGGTGTCGCCCGCCTAAGAACTCCAAATCGCTCATGACCTCGGTCTCACGGGAGGGAGGGAGCCGCGCTTTCGGAGGTCCACCAGTAGGACTAGCTAGGTGTTCTAGGTGGACCGTGAGCTGATTTTGGTCCAAACCCATCTAAGCAGCTAAGGACTTGAGCATGAAGTGTGATTGGATTCTCCCATGGACCGTGAACAAATAGACTGACTGTATACGATGAATTTCATCTACCGCTGGTTCTGCTGGAGGGTAGAAGGACTTTGTGCCTCACCCGGTCGGCATCCTGGTACGACCCAGGAGATGTGATAGCTGGGATCCTTTTGGATCCTCTTGGCACGCTGGATTTTTTTGTGAACACGACAGGCATCGAACTCATTGAACTCAGGCTTGGGTAGATCCTATCTCATCTATGTAACTATAGACTCCTAGACTAAACATTCTGATGGAGTCTGAATCTGAAGAACTGTCAAACTTGCATAATGATTACGTGGAGTAAGTTCACCACCTGGTTCTGGCCATGGGGATCCCACTTAGGCATAGATTTCTTAGGGGTCCCTTCCACACATATTGGCTGTGAGTCAAAACCCCAAGCCCCAACCCTTGGTAGGTTGACCATGTCTGGCAGTCTACTCTGTTCGTTTTCCGTGGTCAACCAGGGGCCCTGGTTTTGACCTACAGCCATATTGGGCAATGACTGGATGCATGAAACCAACAATCAAACACAAACCGGAAGCGGTCTTCGCCACGGGGAGCAGTCTTTTGGGGGGGGCACTTCTTCGCTGACCACGGAAAACCCTCAAAAGCAAGAATGCTCTGGCGTTTTTGTAGCTGAAGACATGACCATGTCCGTAGTTCTGAGTGTATGATCAATCCATCCCTAAGAAAGCTATAATTAGACATGTTTCTAGCTGTTCAGAAACCAAATAGATTGATGGTTTTACATATCGAATGCCAACTTAGCTAACCCTTCGGCTTTTTCCTCATGTCGCCTTCAATTGAGCCTTTAGCTCCGCTGGCGTCAAGGTGATCTCACCATCCAAGACGCTCCAGGCACTTTGGCCTTTGGCAACACCTGGGTCCACCGAGCGTCCAGCGATCGCCACGACCCCAAATCAAAAAGGTTCAATGCGTGTGCCTGTTCCCCGTGAGAGGCCAATCTTAAAGTTGACAAAGACAAACGTCACAAACCGAAGACAAAATAGACATCAGCACACCTCATCTCGTCCAGGCCACGTATCTTCTTTTTGAGGATATCCAGGAATCGCTTCCCGTTGCCCTGGAAAGAGGGGCGAGTTGGTACTTTCTGCAAAACGTGTCCAAGTGTACCTACGCCCAAGCAATGTCAGAAATGCCAACTTTGGAAGCTTCTCTCTGCAGCAGCTAGGCTCCGGATCAAAACTTAAGCTGAAATGCAAGGCAAAAGTAATCTCCGAGTACCACATCCAAAGAAGCAGCAAAACATAGGCAGTCATGAGAGGAGTCTTGACCATTTACAGAGTGGGTGATGGTGATAGAAAGCCAGCGTTTCAACAGTTCAATCAAATTGGAATAACCGTTCACAAACACAGATGAACAAACTATCATGAAATTGTGATGCCACTAAAACTGCTCAAACTTCAAGACACGCTCCCATTCTAAAAAGAATCCTCCAAGTGCCTTTGCGAATGTTGGTTCCAAAGCAAGTGACCTGGAATTCTTTCAAACAACATGCGTATCTACTAACATCCATGATGCCTCTGTGCTAGCAAGCCAACAAACAGATTCTCCCTTACGCACAGCAAGGAAACCCCAAGCTCAGCTTGCCTCCGCCAGCTGCAACTCCTGCTGCAACTCGTGTCGTGGCATGCCAGACGTCGTTCGATCGTCGTTTGGTCGTGTCCAAAGAGAGAGATTGGACCAACAACTCCAAGAGGGAGCAGGTCATTTTATACTCGAACGCTCCATGTAAGCAAATATGATCCAATTACGGTACATTTGGGTGGTTTCAGTGACAAAATGTCCAGTCACATAAGCATGTTGGTCGACCATTTGGGCTATTGACCCTCTTCGCGACCCCCTTTCGGTGGACTGTGCTGGGGTCGGTACTTTGTTGACTCAGTCATTTTGCCCATGCAAAACAGGCAGATCGTGACCACAGACGTCCGCTGGGGGATCGAACTGTCCAGGAATCGGAGAAAAGGATGGAAACAGGACCTCCGATCTTCCGCGGAAGGGAGTTACCAATACCCAAACACGACCCATGGGACTGCTATAGGACTGCCGATCAGGCCAGGGGTGGTTGACTGGGGGTCAGTGTAGGCCCTAATGTAGGGCATATATGGCATACATGGAGTGCCCGGGAATAGGGAAGATACAAAAAACAACTAAGCAATTATTTTACTTCGAAATTCCCCACCCTCAAAGAATTGGTCTTCACAAGAGAAAAGCGGTTCGGCGCAAAAAGGATTCTTTATTGAAAACAAAACCACACATCGAGTACTTACTTGTGAGGTTTCTAAACTTTGATATTTTAATGCCTGGCAACCCCGCATCCCTGCCAAGTCAACTTGTGGTGGATATGCTGTGGAACTGGTGCTTGGGAGCACTCTGGTGAATGTGCTGGTGTAAAGGCTACGCTGGGCTACTCGGGGCCACTCTGGTGGATGTGCTATGTAAGGGCTACTCTGGGCCACTGTGGGCCACTCTGGTGGATGTGCTGTGTTCTTTGGGTTGCTCTGAGCTACGCTGGGACCACTCTGGTGGATGTGCAGAAGTAGCGAGTCTATTGAAGTCCAAAGTTCTTAAAATCTAACAGCCCCACAGTCCTACGGGTGGGGAAAAAACTGCTTTGATAAGTACATTACAAGTCTACAACTATCCTACGATATCTTTGGTAAATGTGCTGTGGAGAAGCTAAGTTGCGCTACTAAAAACTGTGGTTGCTGTGGACAAGCTAAGTTGAACTACTTAGAAATCAGTTTGTGAATGTGCTGTGGAAGAGCTAGGCAGCTAGGTTTAGTTACTCAGGGATCAGTTTGGTGAATGTGGTGTGAATACTCAGAGGTCATTTTGGTGAATGTGCCGTGGAAGTGCTACGTTGAATTACTCAGGGATTACTTTGGTGAACAGGGATCAATTTGGCGAGCGTGCTGTGAAAGAGCCACTTTGGGCTACTCAGAGATCACCTTGGTGAACGTGCTGTGGAAAAGCTAGCTTGAATACTCAGGGATCACTCTGGGGAACGTGCTGTGGAAGAGCTACTTTGGGCTACTCCGGGATCTCTTTGGTGAACATGCTGTGGAAGTGCTGCGTTGAACTACTCAGGGATCACTTTGGTGAGTGTGCTATGGAAGAACTGCTTTGGGCTACTCAGGGATTACTTTGGCGAGTGTGGTGTGGATGAGCTAAGTTGGGCTAGTCAGGGATTCCTTTGGTGAACGTGCTGTGAAAAAGCTACTTTGGGCTTCTCAAGGATTACTTTGGTCAACGTGCTGT